TGCATTGCCAAACTCCGCAATTGCCTCAATTGCCCTACAAGAACAAAACTGAAAGATGAGTTCATTAGCAGAGAGCTAAGATAAGCCGCATGGCATCGGTCATGGATCAGCTGAAGTCGCAGTTCATGTTTGGTGTCAAGAGGACGTGAGCGCAATAGGTCGACATTACATCCATAGGCATATTAAGCATAATAATAAGTCCGGACACCTGCGACGTTTCGAGTCACCAACGTCGATCACACATTGGAACAGAAGGTAAGCTGAAAGCCAAGCTTGATGCTCGCCGGTGGGATTGGCTTGTATATTAGACTCGAGATTCGACACACATCATCGGTTAATCATCACTTCAGTTCGCGATCAAATCAGTACTCTCGCAGCCTTCTATTCAATTATCTGTTGCCGGTCGACTCAATTTTCAGTTCCTAATTTAACCGCCAAAACTTTTCACAATGCAGTTCAGCATCTCCTCCGTTTGCATCGCTCTTTTCACCATGAGCACCCTCGTGGCCGCAGCCCCCGTGAGTAGTATCCTAATTGCGACGAGAACCGTAAAGTCGATGTTTGTATCAAAGCTAACGCGAGCGTAGCAAAACAACGCCCGCGAGAAGTTCAAGCAAAACAGCTGCAAGAGCCAGGCGTGCAGAGATTCGGTTGATGCTGGATGCCCTCTCAACTTCATTAATTTCAGTCTCGGTGGCTGCGATGACCCTAGCTTCTAATCGGTCTCGGACGCCGGCTTTTTCGCAATGGAACAAGCCTGTGAGACAAATCCTAGGTGTCACAGCGACTTAGAGCCATGTAGTAACTGAGGCATGAAAAAGACATCTTCTCCCAACTTGATAGCCATAGACTTGACTGCCTCTCAATACTGAGTTCTTTATTCAACGTTCATGGTGACCGATGTTTGGTCTTTTCATCCTGCCTGTAATATGTCTAAAGTCTCATCAAAATTACGATCAGCTGATGAAGATAATGGCTCTGAACATAACGAGGCGGCCTGGGACACCTAGGGTTGTGACGAAGGGATTTACCCAAAAGCACTGGAATGTGCATACCGAACGCTTGATTCCAGCTTCTGCTAGGTATGTTACGGATCAAAACTAAAGTATGTGCAGTGTTACAAATTGCCAACCCAACTACAATGGTGTATAAACGCTTAAGCAGACTCAAATCAGATGGATATTCTCAAACTCTCAAACGCCAGCATCCCCTCGTACAACTTGGTCAATTGCCTCTGCAACCCTGAACACATTCTTGCTATTCACTGTTGACTAAATTAGTACGGGATTCATCAACGGGGACAATATTGAGCTCGAACTTACATCCCGATATGGACGCTCTTCCTGTTGACAAGAGGTAGATGTGGTGTTTCTCCCTCATCGTCTTGACTTGAGAAGCTGTGAGACCAGTGTAGGAGAACATGCCGATCTGATCGATGATATGTCTCCAAGAGCCAGGTGTGCCTCGCTTCGTGAGCTCGACGAACAGAAACGCTCGCATGCTCTTGACGCGAGCATTCATCTTCCTCAAGTCCTGGCGCCACTCCTTTGTGAGTTCAGGATCGTTGAGAATTGTTGATACAATGCGTGCACCCCATGCTGAGGGAGTCAAGTATTCAGAGCCGATAAATTGGAGCAGGTTAGACTTGATGGCAGGTACCGCGGCAGAGTCATGAGCGAGGATGTGGAGAGCGCCAACTCGGTGGCCGTAGAGACCGAAGCTCTTGGAGAATGACTGAGCGACCAAGACTTCCATCGTTCCTCTGCCGACGAAGTGACGAACGGCCCAGGCGTCGTGGTGATCATCGCCAGATGCAAATCCTTGACTAAAGAGTGCTAGTCAGTAACGTTGAAGGCTGAAGTCGGATCAAAAGTAGGACACTACTCACTAGGCAATGTCCATGAATGGAATGATGCCGAGCTCTTCGCAAATGTCGGCAATGATGTTCCATTCCTTCTGTGTTGGGTCGCAACCCGTCGGGTTATGGGCGCAGGCTTGCAGAATAATGATGTCGCCCGGTTGTGCGTCTCGTCTAAGCGTCCTCACCATACCTTCCAGATCGAGCGACTTGGTCTTGTGATTAAAGTATGGATAGAATCGGCGTTGAGTCTTTGGTGAAGCATTCTCCCAGATTTGCTCATGGCTTGCCCAGGATGGATCTGAGATCCAGACGTTCTCAGGTCTGACTGCCTTGTCTAAGAACAAGGCTCCCATGTGAATGGCCCCGGACCCAGCAATGGTCTGTACGGTGGTCAAGCGACTCTTGACAGCCTCAAGGACATCTCCAAGGAGGAGTTTTCTAGCAGCTTCGATGAATGTTGGAAGTCCGGCAACGGGTAGATAATCGTGGTTGTCTTGGATCTGCGCTTGGGCCTATACGTCGAGTAGATTGGGGTTAGCATGAGGCTCAACAGCAACGTTTGATCGTTTTGGATGATGCGCCACCTTTTTGACGGACGGTAATGTCCAAGGCTGTGCATCGTCGTCCCTGTAGACGCCAAGACCGAGGTTGACCTTATCAGGCGTGGGGTCTGCTGCAACTGACTGCATGACAACGAATGCTTCATCGTAAGGAGCCTCAATCAGGCTAGAAAAGTGCGACTGCACAGCTAAGGAACCCATTGTTGCAGTAAAGTGTGATTAATGTTGATCGAAAAGTTTACAGAAAATAGTAATTATTGCTGTTCAGAAAGGGTGGAATATCATCGTTCTTATGTTTGCCTCCAATGCTGAGGTCCGAACGCCGAAAGTGCGTGAACAAGGCCTGTTGGGCGAGCAAACAATTATCATTTTTGGCCCCGACCGCCGAACGTGACTGCCGGCCCCAGGGATGTGACAGAAACAAATATTGATGACATCTGTTGGTCGAGATCCAGGGCGATTGGGTTCACGATGCAAGGATTGGGCCACACCGCCTGCCTGACTTCCTTTTGCCTGGCAAGGGGGGAAGTTGCTTTTCCCAAGGGTGCGCTTCACTTTGCGGACTCGCGGAAGTAGGCACACCTTGCCCGAGCCATGGTCATGGGATTCTGCCAGAAAAGCAAACATTTCTCATATTGACTCTAACTCACTGCGGTAATGACAGCCGTCGCTAAACTTACTCTAGACACGAAATTTTGCGAGACAGTTGAGATCCTTTCCCGCGTACCTGGTTCGCAAGGTGTTCGAATCAGGAGATTGTGCCGGAGTTGTCGGCGCAGTTGAAAACTTTCGAAATCAACCCCGATGCATACGCGTCCTTGATGGACACGGCTACACTGTATCTGTTGCCTACTCAGTTTTCGTTCTTCGGGAAAGGAATATGATATACTTACGTTCCGGCGACTACCATGAACAGGCCCACAAGGACGACGAAAACGTGAAACCCGTACATTGCTTTCTTTGATGCACCTCCCTTTCTGTACGACGAAAAGTCCTGCATCCACAACAGTGCTGGGAAGATGAGACTGAAGGGAGCAAAGCAAAGAGCGCCCGCGAGTCCGAGAAGATAGTTCAGGATGGGGACGGCTTCTGCCACGATGAAAGCCAGGATACCGAGCGTCATGTTGCTGCCAATCCAGGTTGTCCAGTGGATGACGGTGTTTGCCTGTAGATGTTGCGAATCTCTCAGGATGCGCACAAAGAGGTATTTCGCCGCCACATGTTGGTAAATACCGACACCGATAATCAGACCAGGAAGCGCAACACCATACGATATCTTCTTGAACAAAGGACCAGCGCTTCCAAAAGCAGGAGTCGCGAGCCAAACACCACACCACCGGTAAATAACCAGTGAAAATGAAAGATACATCGCCAAAACGAGAACACCGGTCACCAAAGCAGCCTTTCTGTACTGATCCGGCCGACGCATCTCCGAGATGATTGGGAGATACATAGAGGAGCCACTGTTGCTGATAAAGATGTTTGCGCTGGCGGTGATACCAGCAACAAACGTTGGGTGGGCAATCGCCGTCCAGCCGAGGTCGAAGTCACCGGGAGGGGCGACAGCAGGTCGATCTTGTTGGGTGACAGCAACAACGAAGATAAAGACGGCGATGAAGAAGGTGGCGAATCCGAACCAGGTGAGCCAACCCAGGCGGCTGAATGTGCGCACTGCGGAGAACATGGTGATGAGGATCGCACCAACCAAGGTGAAGATGACGGTGCATGCTCCGTGATTGGAGAGAGCATTGAATGCGGTCGAGATAGAGACAATACCCGCTGCAGAAATGAGGACTTGGGCAATGAGGATCTGCAACCCGACAAGTTCCTTTCCGACGCGACCCCAGAGGCGACCGCACATGTCAGCCAAAGCTAATTGCAGCCATCAGTATGTCTTCATGTTGGGGTGCAGGCAAGACCCGGCTCACTATGGCATTCGGGATGACGATTACGGAACTCGCCAAGGATGACTGCAGTGTCTAGATATCTCATCAGTATTGCTGTCGCTGTCTTCGAGTGCGAAAAGACTGACAAGTATTGAGAACGTGCCACCCAACAAGAGAAAGCGCACCGCCTACGGCACCAAGGGTGGCGAAGGCTCCGGGGACGCTCAAGATGCTCATGGCGAACTGGATCTTGAGGAACATAATCGTGGCACTCTGCCAAGTGACTGTGCGAAATTGAACGCCATCTTCCGTATCCCTGAAGACTTCGTGCGTCGTCAAAGCCTGTTCTTTGAGTGAGGATATCTCGTTGTGGACCGAAGGCGGTCTGATTTTATCGTCGTTCACCGCGGAAGGTAAAGCGTGGCCAGCATCGACTTCGTGGGTAGTCATCTTGATAGTCGAGTTTTCGTGATTTGATGCAGACGCTCCTGGGACCACACATGCGGAAAGTCGGCTTCGTGGGTCCTATTAAATGCTCCATCATCGGCAATCCGGAGGACTACCTTATCTGAATTTATCAACTTTTCCCCATGTCTTTATCATGATGCTAGCCCTTGAACAGTTAAGTGTAGCACCCGTTTGATGCGCACCCTGGCCTAGATAAGGGTAGCTTCGCGGAGATAATCCATGAAAATGCATACAGTGTGGTCGCAAGTCGGGCACCGTCTTACATCCCGACTCAATTCCGATGCGCATCACCACAGAACAACAAGCTACGCTGCGGTTGTGGACCATATCCGACTGCCAATGACAGAAAGTTTCAAGAAGATTGCTTGCAATCCAGAAGGGAATCGGTGGTTCTTATCACACGCTAAAGCCATGCTAATGCACTCGCAGAGTTGTCCCGGCCATTCGGTATCCAATGCCCACTCTGGCGGATGTGCCAGATATCCAGGCATCGATCCGCTTTGTCTCCTAGGCCTGCAGTACGGGGATTGGACCCTTGGTTGGTATTTGGACAACATTACCCGGGCCACCGCTTCTTCCAACTCCTCCATACGGATAGGGAGTGGACGTGATAATGAGAACACCAATAACCTTGACCAGAAAGAAACCGGAGTAACAGTGCACTGTCGAACTATTCGTCATATCGGCTAAGTTGTTCCGGACCATTGATACGACTTTACCGTTGCTGTGGCTTTTACCTGGCCAGGTTTTGACCCCTAAATCATCGTTCATTGGTTTTAGAGTTCACGTGGGACCCATGCGAATAGTAACATTCTCTTGCGGCGATGTTGTTTTACATGGTCGCGGGCGACTCTAAGGCCCGAATCCAGGCGAAAAAGATTTCTCTTCGTGCGTTTGTGTAAAACTTCTTAGTGCGGAGTGTCCAAGTCCAGCAGTCGGGATATCTAGTGCTGCGAATGTGAATGAACACGGTACTTGGCTCATTGATGACGGCCAACCAAACGGCTGATGGTTTTCTATGTATCTATGTATTCAGTTACTACCAGCAACTTTTTAGGAACCCCCTTCTGGAAGTGTCTCTCACAATTGAAAAAGAATTTCTTAAGAGTTTATTGAATGTGTTAATAATTACTACAGTGGGGTGTCTAAAGTTCGTGTGCAGCGCACAGTATCCAGCAAAAGTACTACTTTTCAACAGCGAATAAAAACTTGAATATAATAAGAAAAAGAAATCGAAAATCACTATATAACTAATTAGCTATTATATTAGTATATATCTAAGTTGCACTATATTTTTCTCTATTACCAACGCGTTAAATAAATCTTTTATAAAATAAGTTTTAAGAGATTTTTATTATAGTGGATTATAGGGCTTTTTAAGTGCGAATACCACTGTACTTCTTAGTAAATTCATTTTTATCTCAAACTCTAGCTTTATATTATAATATAAAGTACTAATATAACGTATTTTAAAATAATTAAAAAATAGTTTTATATACTTTATATACTAAAGTATTTTATTGGAATTTTGAATTATATTATTTATACCTAAGTTAGAAAGATACCTATAGTAATAAAGAGACGTAGTTAGTGGGCTATAGGTGACGCACTGGGAGGGTGTACACGAACTTTTGACACCCTACTGTACTCAGTCGGTGGGCATCAGGGGTTCGTTCACTGCTCCACATACCTAACTTAATAGAATTACACTCCACTAAGATCATGACTTGAATTCTAACGCTGTTGTTGTCAACTTGACTTTGCTTAATCTCTCACTTGTTCTATCTAACAGCATTTCACAAATGGAGCAAAAAATATTTGCTGACGTAGGCATCCCCAGATAGACGGAGGAGAACGTCAAAAGATAAATATGCGGCCAGTGTGGATTGAACACACGACCTTCAGATTGATTGAATGAAGTTTCTCGGGCACGAAGTCCGCTTCAGTCTGACGCTCTCCCAACTGAGCTATGTCCGCCGCTATTGTTCATGAGCAGTAGAGGCTACCACGCCAATATGGATCGTTGTTCGCTGTTTGGGTGGTTGAGAAGCAGTCTTAGTTTGGTCGGTGACGACAACGAACAGCGGGTTGGTCGGCCCTGAAATGGAACTACTACGTCTCATGTCGGGGCAAATGGCAGATACGATGAGTACGAGAACTTCAAACTTGGAATCCCGTAGAAATGGATAGAGCGCAATCTACAGACTATGGTGTGCGAGAAGACGTAAGCGCAAAGAGAACATGGACTTTGATAGGTAAGGTAGGTAAGCTTCGGAAGCTTATCTAGGTCGTTCTACCTGAGGTAGTTAGTCAAGTACCTGAGTGCAACACCTCAGGTTGTTGATGGACTGATATAAACATCATGGCGTGGACCTGAAAGAGACTGAGAGAACCAAAACTCGAACGTGGCGAAGACCGTACTGGTTCGTATGCCTCATCGCATAACAGGCTCCAAGACATGACAAGATGTCCTGCGCCATGGCTTTTCTCACGTGGGATTGCTTATTGAGCTGAATTACTAATATAACTACTAATTGTTGGGATTGCATGGTCATTCATGTGTTCATTATGCTGCTAAGAGGCTATCACTAATTGCATACAATTTCGAAGGCTTTCCTGGTAATCGCAGTCTGTGGAAAATGTTGCTTGGTTTTGGTGACATCAACGTGTAGAAGGTTTGGTGGCAGCAACAAGAAAAAAACATGACTCGAGATTCATACCGCGCTCACTGTCTTATGACGCAAACCTTTCGCTCCAAGTCAAGCCTGGAAAGCCATGGGGCAACCCCTAGCTTGACTAATTCTCTCTCTCGTACGTTCCATGTACTCCTTGCCTTTGCATCTCTGTGCGTCAGGGCCAACTTCCGGGATGGTGTATCCGTCCGGATGATACTTTGAGCCTTCATCGCCAGGTAAGTGTCCGCCAATCAGTCTGGTATAGAGAGCCGAAGGACTCCATCGCCACCAGAAGCTCGGCTTGACGTAGTATGGGTGTGCGAGGTAGCTCGGTAAGTACATTCGGCCAGTCTTCTTGTCCACGTCTTGAATCATTGGGTTGGTCCACCATTTTGGTCGAGGCAGACAGAAGTACTTGAGGACATTGCGTCGGAAAGCGACCAGGTTCTCGAAAATGAAGAGGTCCAGCTTGTTGGGGTCCTCGTACCTAAAGCCATAATGGGTCAGCTATTGATTCTGTGCGTCCAAAACATCAGTTGGTCGGGCTTCTCACCCCATGGCTCGTCGGAGTACAGGTTCCATCAGGCAACGCAATTGCCTGAACACGAAGTTATGCGTAAACTTAGGGAAATCCATCAGAAGAAGAGTGATGTTCGCGTGTGCCAGCTTTTCATTTGAGATGGCGTGGACCATATTGCGCTCTTGGTAGTCTAAGCACCACTTCTGCAGCGCTTCCAACCAGGCTAAGGCATCATCTTTTTGGCTCATGTGAGGAACTAAGCACTCGTAGGAGATGCCCATCTCGTTGCCTAAGTCTTTCCAAAAGATAGCCAAAGCATTCTTCTCGAACATGGTCAGGTCCCTCCATTCGTACAGTGCAGTCCAGCGCATAGGTTCGAGGACAAAGAGGCTGAGAGTGTAGAGCATATCATCGTTCGATATCTTGCCGGCCTCTCTCCAGCGGCTATGGAGGAAGTTGACGCGAGAGATGGCATCTATGTTGCGTCGAGAGTCAGGTGTGTTGTAGATGATTTCGTACATCAACACGCCGGTGTCTGTCCGACGCTTTGATGCTGTGCGATCGCCTGAAAGTTGGCTGGTGGCTACCAAGAGCTTGGAGATCGTCGGAATTCCATACGTCTGCAGACGGCTTAGCTCGAGGGCCTATTTCGGCACTGCTTCTCGCTTCTTGACTGACCTTAAAGAGTGCGAAAGACACGGATGTATAAAATGTTACGGGGAATTCCCTTTCCGAGAGCTCACGCATTATCGAAGCTGCGTCTGACAACGGCAATGAAGCCATTTCTTCTCTTGTCTTGTACTGGGAAAACCTCTGCTGGAACCCATCTCGACGACGGTATCGCAGGACCCGAACTGCGAGCATGTAGGCAGTGATTACCACAATTACTGGTAAAAAGTACATGGTGTATTTTTCCCTGGCTCGCAGGTGAAGAGTAAGAAGGATGGAAAAATGAATGTCTCGAAAGCGAAGATGACGGGACCGGATGGCCTTTGTTTTATTATTCCCTAGGCATCATGCGGTACGACTTTGGAAAGGGGTTTCCACATTACCCCAGGCAATGCATTTAATTTAGCCCATCTTCTCGTTTCTTTGGCCCTGGTCCTCGGGTGACGCCCCAAAATCGTCTTCTTTTGACATCAACAATGCGAGTCGACTTACACGTGTGATGCGGGGGTGTCTCAGAGCCACCAATCATCAAATTGGGTAAAATTCATGCAGTAGTGCAGATCTGCCGGGACGGCGGCATTCTGTAGTGCGGTTGGTGCAAGCCAAGAGGAGTAGAACAGCACTTAATGGGGCTAAATCTGACAAGAAAAACCGGAACCCGTCGGGCTTCCGGGTGCGACTATCAGACGAGGTTTGGACTGAATCGAGTTAGCTGGTCAGTTGGAGTCATACAATTCGACTCAGACCTGATCGGATTGGTAGGCTTTGAACTTCAGGTCGTCGGAAAGGGCATTTCCCAAGGATTCGGTTCACACACACGGGCCAGGCGCCATTCTTCTAGTACTTGGACCGTCCCCGGATGACAGCTGATAGCCTCCCCGAAAAGCAAGTTTCCTCAATTTGCCCAGTGACCAAGGTGATGAGCATTGCAGATAGAATTATTCTGATTCGTCGACCCATGCTCGAGGTCGCGACTAGGCTGCTTCGTTGTCGGTTTGGTTCAAGAATGGAAGCTTCGGCAGGCTCTGGTCACCCTAAGGAATTGTACTTGTGAGGCACCTGTTTCCGCCGGTCGCGTAGAGGGTTTTGTTTAAACTCATGGGGCAAAATGCTGAAACTGGGAGCTAAGTTGGCAGATCTTCGATCTCGGTGATGACCCACCCATGTTGAAACTGTCAATGGGACTGATACTCCAACTTTAGATGTAGTCGGTGAATTCCCACATTCGCCTTCTTGACTCGACAGTATCTGTAAGTCCGGGGTAGCATCTGTGCCACATTTAACTTAGTTCAGACGTCTCAACATCGAAATTCCAAGGTATTCACTACGTAGAATCAACCGCGGCATTCGGACACCAATGCACGATGCGATAGTCGTGAAATGTTGGTGAATAATGAGTCCAATCTGATGCTTTGCGTTGAGATCATAGCAGTCTACCATATTTCGACGCACTGATTTGGCGCCTTTGATCTACGAGACAAGGAGACCTCAACGATCAGCGTGCTGCCATGAAGGGCTCGCCAACGTAGGGTGACCGTCTAAAATAGCAGCAGGCACACCCAGCCAGCTTTACCGGAGTTGCACCTCAAATTTACGTTGATCTATAGACCATACGTAAACCGAATTTCGAAACTTGAGCTTTTTCAGTCATCCACACCGGGCTCAAGAAATGGACATCCGCTCCGTGACCCCTCCAGCTCGATGTTGAGCCTTGAAGCGGATGGCGACATGTCATATGCCAACAGCCAAATTTACCAACGTTTCTCATACTCAGCTTTCGCAATCCTGGATAAACTGACTCATTATGTGTACTCTTGATCAAGCTG